ATAATGTCGGGAAGTGTGAGGTCATCCACCTAGGTGGCAAAAACAGTGGAGCAGATTATTGTTTAGATGGGGAGACACTAGATAGTGTTAGCGTTCAGAGGGACTTGGGTGTCCTTGTACACCAGTCACAAAAAGTTAGTTTGAAGGTACAGCAAGCAGTTAGGAAGGCTAACGGTATGTTGGCATTTGTTACAAAAGGGTTAGAATATAAAATAAGGAAGTCTTGCTGCAACTGTATAGGGCTCTAGTGAGACCGCACCTAGAGTATTGTGTGCAGTTTTGGTCTCCTTATTTAAGAAAGGATGTACTCGCCTTGGACGGGGTACAATGTAGATTCACTAGGTTGGTACCAGGGATGAGGAGGATGAGTTATGAGGATAGGTTGAGCAATTTAGAATATAGAAGAATGAGAGGTGATCTTATAGAAACCTATAAGATTATTGAGGGGCACGACAGAATAGATAGTGGGAGACTTTTTCCCCTGGTTGGAGAAACTATAAACAGTCTTAAAATTAGGGCTAATCCCTTTCGCACTGAGTTGAGGAAAATCTTCTTCACTCAGAAGGTAGTGAAATTTATGGAATTCTCTACCCCAAAGAGCTGTAGATGCTCAGTCCTTGAACATATTCAAGACTGAGATTGATAGATTTCTTGCAGATATAGGGATTAAAGGATATGAGGATAAGGCGGGTAGGTGGAGTTTAGAATAGATCAGCCATGATCTTATTGAATGGCGGGGCAGGCTAGAGGGGCCGAATGGCCTACTCCTGCTCCTAATTCTTATGTTCTTATGTCTGGATATTGGAATTTTCCATTACTGCTCCGAAGCAGGATTCTTTTTTTCCCCATTCTTGGTGGGTGTTCAATTTTGGCTTTGGTTGGATAGACAATCCTTTTGATTTGCTCTGTTTTTATGAACTTCTAATAAGTTTTGTTCTGTTTTTAATTTGGAACTGCTCAGGGATTTATTGTTTATATTCTTAATTTGGCATATAAATTTAGTTCTGTATTGTTACACTTGCTGTAGATTTTGTTTTATGATGCTTGAAATTTATAAATAAATAATTGAGAAAAGGCCAGCAAGCCCATCCTTCATTCTTTTTGACAGATATAACTTGGGATGTATACCATGTTTACAGAACGAAAAAAACAATTTGAGAACATGGAGCTTTGAAATAGGCAGATTTTTTTTCATGTAATTTTTGCAAAGTAAACTGAGTGGAAGCTGTTCTATCACAGTGTTTGTTTCCATAATAATCACCGGATTAAAAATAGGATTATAAATGGTTTTGTTTGGAGTAGAATTACTAGTTCAATCCTCAACCTGTTACATTGGGTAAATAAAACAGTGAGTTGGAGGTGGAAGTTGTAATGTGTGTTTAAAGCCTTTTCAAATGTCTTGTTTCAGGATAAATGTTTATGCCCAAGAAAGCAACAAATCCTGAGTAATTTACAGAATTTAAGATGAGATGACTATAAATCAGAAAGTGGACTTCACTTGCTCTTTAGCATTTGTAAATCTTCCAATGATGTGTCAGTAAGCTTCTCACTATATGAGCAGATGTTTGTAATGGAATATTGGTTTGGATATTTGTTTAAAAAGAATCTGTACAGCGTAATCCTCTTAAGATGTACCATTTTTGTGAACTTCAGTTTTGAATCATAAAGCTGAAATGTCTCGTGGGCATGGCCTTAAATCCATTCTTTTAAAAGATTGTGCAAAAATATAAACAAAAATCATTATTTCAGTTTTAATTTGAATGGTGGACTTCTGCATTTCTTAAAAAGAACATGAGAAATATTGGGCTTCAGTGAATTTTGGGGGGAAAACAGGGTATTTTTAGAAAAGAAAAGACATTTCTAATGTAAAACATTTATGGAAGAAAATATAAACCTTGACTTCAACTATGAGACAGATGCAATTTATTTTTCTCACATATGGGAAGGGGTGGAGTGGGAAAGAGTATTCAGTGTTATTGTGAGAGATAATACTAAAGATCCATTTATGTTTAGTTTCAGTAGTGGAGTCCTTTCTTGAAAGTAAACATTTTCATTTTTTGTTTACAAAATGTATAAATACTTTTATACTTTTATACTTTCATTCAGTTGCTTGGTACAGTCAGGAAAACATTTATAAAGTACGATTACAAAATATATATCTTCAAAAAATAAATAATATGTTTTTGGGGACAAGGAAAGCAAAAACAAGCATTTTATAGCATCTTGATATGACAAGACACTAAAGAAATAATGACAATCAAGTGTAGTTTCTGTTTATGGACAAACATGTCAGCTGTTTGCAACAAGAAGGTCCCACAAATAGCGATAAAGTGAATGAACAATTAATCCAGAGGATTATTAGCTGAGACACAAAAATCACTTCCTTTTGTGAAGGATTTTAATTTCCACCTGAACAGCCTGACAGGATTGCAGGGTTACATCTCATCCAAAAGACTGTGTCGCTGAAAATCTAACACAGTTACATTAAGTCTAGTTGTGTGTTTTCAATCCATAACCTTAAATCAGAAGACGGAGGGGATACTCATTCTTAAAGATCTAGGTTGACAACATAGTTTTCACTCTACTGGTTACCATAGTAATATATTAGTGAGCCTTCAAATTAATCATCATTGAGCTCTAGTCATTTTCTTTTACTATTCACTTACATTTACAAAGAACAAATTATTGCTCTAATTCAGAAATAAGTCATTGAATAGTTAATTGAACAGGGAGCTATCCCAGGACCTATTGGGCCTTTTTCTGCTCCTTCCTTTCTATGTATCCATGTGTGGTCACTTTTTTGCTTAGTTTCTTTGCCTTAAAAAAAAGGCCAAATTGCTCACAGGCTAAATCTCATGACCTTTTTTGTTAGAATGAGATTCTCTAAAAAAATGCTTTTGGAAATTATCAAAAGTCAGCATAACCCACAGCAGATAGTCTCAGGATGTCTGTCTTATTTATCCAGAGATCATGTCATCCCATCTTGTGACCTTGCTTCCCTTTCCCATGTCATCAACCCGCTGTTCTCAACCAGGGAAGGTTACTTTAATACATTAGCTGAGCAAACAAACGGAGAAACACTGTTTCCTTATTTGAATGTAATATTTATATATTTATAAACATCTTTGGCAACTGCAAAGGTGCCAATCATTACTTTCCCTTTAGTATATTTATTAACACACTTGCCAATAAAAGCAAAGAGGAACATGTTTCTTCCCACTCAAACGTAAGATATTATTGAAGAAGCATTTTTTTATAGAGCTCTCTTACATACAGATTGTTTGAGTTTCAGACTGGAAATTTTAGCTGCATTTTCATTCCTACTCACCATTCAAAATTAATGTAAGGGAAATTGGCCTATTCCATTTTTGCTTTTTTAATCATAAATGATTCAAAAGAACAGAAATGGCTCCATTGATTCAAACAAAATTCAGAAAAATAGCAAAATTGCTATGTAAAGAGTGCGATATGATGATGGTTTCCTCAGCACAGGAATAATATGAATAATGGATTCATCAAAGGTGACCAATGCACTACCTGATCAAATTCTTATTCTCCCTCTCTGGCAATGTGATAACATCAATATATTGCAATATCAGTGTTTGATCATCTTTGTCTACCATACCAGTAACAATTTGCACACATACATAACACCTCTCATGTAGGAGAATGCCTTAAAGTGATATATAGAAACGGGGAGACTGAGTTGGGGGGAAGATGGGGGATTGCAGGTCGGTGGCCATAGGTACAGTTCAAAGGGAGCAGGTTTTGATCTTATTGTATGTATGCTCCATGTTGAGTGCTCTTTGACTGCGCCTTTATCACCTTCCTGCATTTTGGAGTTGGAAAAGGTAACAATGCTTATAAATGTCTTCACTCTAGATGGATTTGTCACAGTGCCAACAACTAAAATTAAATTATTTCCATCTTTCTGTCAGTCTATCTCTTTCTTGGTTCTTTCTGTCTGCCTTTCAGTCTTATTTCCATGCGTTGTTTGTGTCATTCTTTTTCTTCCTCTTTTTTCTTTTATTCCCTTTCTATTCATCTTTCTGTCTTTCTCATAGCATATTTTGACCAAAAATGCAAGCTTTGTTTTCAAAGTAGGTTTCATCTGGCATTCAGACAACACAGATTCTCTTAGATTGTAATGGTTGCCAATACAACTCCTGTTTTCAAATCTTTTTGTTTTAAAAAAACACTTTGGTTAAATCAACAAAAGAAGCATAGCATTTGAGTCTAACAAAAACTGATACAACAACAACAACTTGGAATTATATAGCGCCCTCCACGCTGGACGGGGTCTCAGAGCGCTTTACAGTAAGGGATCCCGGGACTCAAATGATATTGAGAATCCTTTGTTTGGGGGCAGGGGGATAAATTAATATTTCCCCACTCCCCATCTTCGAAAGGCTTTTAAGTTATTTTTGCCTTCCACTGGGATAGGATCCCATGGGCACCCTTACAATACCTAGTACTTTGCCCCAATAGCTTTTATTCATGTCTGAGACTTGGCAGTGAATGTTCCTAATGGGTTTAACAACAATTTTAAGAAAGGTGGAAAACTAGATTCCAAATTAAGACTGAATTTAAGAATGTTCATAAATATTGTACGATTTAAAATTTTAAGGCAGTAGAGGCTAAGACCATTTGAAGTTCACCTACATAATATACAATCGCTACACTTTACAGTAAATATTTCAAAGCGCTTGGAGACATCCTCCCAATGCAGTATCAAACTTAATGATTGTTATTATTAAATGTCATGCCTCCGGAACGTGTGATGTTTCAAATTTAATTCAGTCTATTTGATATTCTATAAGGAATGCCCACAGAATAGCTTGCCAGTGAAGGTTAGCATAACTCGTTATTATTATCATAGACTGATTCATGACATTTCCATATGATTAATGTACAGGACTCCTTTGATCTTTTTGTAGCAAGGTTGAAAAAAGAAACAAGCCTGGTTTGTAAAAGACTGTCGTTATATCCTTGTATTTCAGTTGCTTTGGCTGCGTACAAATGGCTAGTTTGTTACCTGTTGAGAGAAAGCCACATGAAATTTGATCAGGAGAAGAAATCGGGAAAATCAGATTTTGAGTCCAGAAACAACAGTCAGGTAAGGGATTGGAGGAAGTTCTGTGACAGTTGCTTCATCTTGTTTATTTAGCTTGTCCATAATCTTAATTGATAGCACTTTGGTTCAAGTTTCAAACTACATTACCAGAGAACCCATGGCACTATTCAAAAGGTAAAGTGATTTTTCTTTCTTTGTTCAGGCAATAATCATCAAGGTTAATTAACTTCATGGCTGTTTGTGGGACTTTACTAGCTTGAACAGCTTCCAAGTGTGCCAACAATACCAATATCAATAAAATGCTTTGAGATGTTTTATGATAAATTACAAAGGTTTGTTTTTTTGACAATTATATGGTGACTAAAGTTGCATTGTACCCATTAAATGGCTTGTGTCTGATGTGACTAAACAAAGGACAATTGACTACTTCATATTTCTTGATGAAATAATTGATGGTCACAAGGTGATTGAAGTAACATCGTTCATATTATGTAACATTGTTCGTACTATTGTTCATATTAGTGATGTAAGCTGAAAATTTATGAAATTCCAACAACCAGAGGGGGGCAAATATCTGATCATTAGCTACCATAATGCACTTTGGGCTTAATTAAGGTATAATTTAAACACAGCTGATGAAATGCAATAATTTACTCTTTATTTTCTAAAGAACTCCATTAAATTATTATATTGAATGCCTCATGTCCAAAACTTATCAATAATTCTTCTTAATGCCATTCAAAGAATGTTGGAACAGAAGTTTAGTTTTAATCCAAATCGGCACATTCATTTCTAGAACTTTTGAAAATTATTTCAAATTTGTTAAAGAAGTTTGTATTAAAATATTGTTTCCACAGCAAATTCAAAGTGGAAATTCAGTTTGCATTAGTTAAAAGATGCAATGTTTTTAAAAATAATTGTACAGTATCTCCTTTTAAAATTGGGGTTAAGGCATAATGCTTCAGCTGAGTAAAAAGAACCTCCTTCTGTGATTAACAAAGATGTATTCAAAGCCTCACGCTTTGCCTTTGAGTTAAATCCTGTGAAGCCCTTTGAGATGTCCTCCAGACATGAACGCCTATACTAAATGGAAGGACTTTTAGTATTAGTATTAATAATCATTAGAAATTAACAATGGACCTAGGAATGCCAAGGAAATGAATTCTATTTACTTCTTTGAACTGCAAAAGTTTTTAATAACATGATGCAATCCCTGTCTCAGGAGGCTTAGTTTGTTGCTTCCGATCCATTGTAGAAATAGTACTATCATTGACATTTACTATATAGCATTAAATTAACTTTGTAAATTTACAGAAAGCAAACTCTCATGGGTCAAAGCTTCCTGATGACTTTAAGGCACTTTGAAAATAAAATAAATGTATTTCAAGAGCGTCATTATATTCTGCTGTATTTGTGTTGCTCTTTTTTTCTATCGTCAATGATATTCCATTATCATTTAAACTTCCTCTCCTTGTTAAAATGGAACTGACCAGACAGACACCAGTGGTCTTTTCCATTCTTGTGCATTGTTTCAACACCCTGTTAAAGATATATAAGTTGTTTAAATCTTAGATGTAGTCATGCTGTTAATTATTTGCCAGACATCAGACTCTTGTTTTAACTTTTCTTGTGAATGCGAGACACATAGCAACATATTTCTGAGCCACGTGTGGTAATACCACAGTCTGAGCCACAAATTCTAAAAAGGAAATGCATTATATGCACATTTTTTCTTTGTCTGAATAGTTTTATGGATTGCATTCAGATTATTTCAAAATTGATAAAAGATGGTTGGGTTAAAATACTGCATATACTTTACACCAGTGATTTGGGGTTAGAGCTGAAGTCTCCCAAGTTGGCTTTCCTTACAGGAGAGATGCATTGTATATCCTGATTATACAATGCAAAATACACAATACAAGCCCAAATTACATTTGTAAAGCGCCTTTGATGTCAGGAGGATTTCCAGGGCGCAGAACAGTCAGGGATTAGGACCCGGGGGTGGTGGGGTGATGGTGGCAGAGAGGTTAGGAGGGTGACCAAAGGCACGGCCAAAGAGGAGGATCTTGAGGCGTGTCATGAAGGAAAGAAGGGAGGGAGCGAAGCAGTGGGAATGTGGAATGGAGCTCCAGAAGGTGGAGGCAGAGAGGATGAAGGCCCGACCGTCGATAGTGAGGGGGAGCTGGGTAGGGGACATGGCTGAGCTTGCTTTGCGGAGGGAGCAAACAGGTTAATAAGGGTTTCGCAGATTGGAGAGATAGGAGTGGGCAAAGCCATGGAGGGCCTTGACGATCAGGACGAGGATTTTTAACTCTATCCCTTGAGGGATGGGGAGCCAGTGCAGCTGGGCAAGGGTGGGTATGATGGGGTCACGGAGCCTGGTGCGGGAGAGGACACGAGCTGCAGAATTCTGGATGATCCGCAGCTTGTGAATGGAAGACTTGGGAAGGCCAACAAACAGGGCGTAATTAATGACTGGGAAATGTTACCAGGAAAGGTGTTTGAGGCCAGAATATCAGACTCATTTAAAAGCTGTTTGATGTAATTGTAAAATAGTAGGGTGGATGTTCTGGAAGAATAAGGTCAAATGAGCCTAAGGGCTCATCTTCACACCCCCCACCCCCTCCTGAACAAAGCTTGTGATGTACAACATTACAATACTTATTATATATTGTTGAATGGTTGTGAGATACTAGATGTAACCTTGATATGAGATCCACATTCAGTGGAAACCGTAATGGATCAAAAAAATCCATAAATTAAAAATCCAAACAGAAATTAGTGTATAATTGTAAGAAAACCTGTGTAAAATAGTTAATGAAAGCTTCTTTAATGTAATCTCAGTGTCCGCTCCCATCAGTCTTGCAACACTGGCTTCTATTCCTGTTTCTACAGTGGTGTTTGCTGCCAGGCAATACAACTTTACGAATTGTTCAAATAGAATGACACACCAGTTCATGTCTCCGGTTAATGTTTTCTTTGTGAGGTCAGAAGAAAAAGGATGAATAATGTCAGCTGTTCTTGCAGTTCCAAAAGGATAAGTTTGTTGACGCAGAGTAACACAAGAACCATACAATATAACATGAGGTAACTGTGTGAATACATCAATGCTCTCTTTGTTAGCTAACAGGTTTAAGCCCATGATAATTTTAGTAACACTGTGTAGAATGGGGCATGTAGTTGGTGTTGTACTGCTTCACTATATCACTGTTAACTAAAAGAATCTTACCACCAAAATTGTATTTTTTAGTCTTACTGGTTGCAAAAGAAAAATACATTTAGAACAAGGTAGCTTGTTAAATAAATTATATAAACTGTACATATATTTTTGTTTCCCCAAATGAATTTGTAGTCTATACTTTGTGTAAATGCATTTTTTTTCTCTCTCTAGGTATATTATTGCAGATCCCTGGCAATTGCATTTATCGAGTACAATGTATTTCAACGATTCCATGACTTTACTCATAATTGTAGCACACCGACCTCCCTGCAGCCTGTGTTAAAACGACTCAGTGCTCTGTATGGACTCTGGGCTCTTAGCAAACATACAGCTGTGCTGTACCAAGGTGAGAAGAGTTTCTCTGAAAATCATCCTAATTTCGCTTTATTGTGATTCCCTACTTAAAAATAAACATCTATATGGCATGCCCTTCCCATGTATAACCATCTGAACTATATTACACTAAAGTAAACATTTTGTCTTTATTAGTTAGTGTTCAGCGCTACAAAACACGCAGGTTTAACAGATCAAGATATTTAAATGTTGTCCTTTTAAAAATGCAAGCTATTGGGCGAGTTATGAATCACAAAGGTGTTTTAATGTTTTGGAGTTATATCAGATGGATTGAGGATTGAAGATTATATTGAGGATTATATCCTGGATCGAAGAGCCATTTCAGAGATTGTATCATCTTCCCATCTGTTTGGACTAAATTTGAATACAGGTCCCAAAGGCAAGAAATTATTCTAGCTCTTTGCACCACCCAGCCCACACAAACATATATATTTTCATTCAACCATATTGTTTCATTAGAGTAGAGCTGTTATGGTGGATTGAATTAAGTCTGTAATTAAATATTTTTGAGGTGGGTGGTAATGCTGCTATATGTTTTTATAATGTTGTTCTTCAGCCTCCGCTCATTGTGTCGCTTTCTCCTATATCTCCACATCGGGCTCAGTTTACTGCTAATGTGACAATATCAAAGTGGGTCACTAAACATTGCTGCCAGCTCCCAATTCTGCAGCTTGAAAACTGGTACAATGATAAGGACCAAAAAAAGAAATCAGCCGAAAATATTGTACAGTCCTGTAAATTGTTGCTTTAAAAGTATTCCTCATTCAAACAACTGGAATCACATATTTAGCAGGGTATATTTTCATAACGTAACATAACATGTAGGAGCAGGAGTAGGCCATTCGGCCCTTCGAGCCTGCCCCTCCATTCAATCATGGCTGATCTTCTAATCTAACTCCAGCTAATACCATAACCCTGCCTTATCCCCATATCCCTTAATCCCTTTTGCAATAAGAAATCTATCTATCTCAGTCTTGAATATGTTCAAGGACTGAGTGTCAACAGCCCTTTGGGGTAGCGAGTTCCATACATTCACCACCCTTTGAGTGAAGTTCTTCCTCAACTCAGTGCAAAAGGGCTGCCTCTGATCTTAAGGTTGTGACCCCTGGTTATAGTTTCTCCAACCATAGGAAACAATCTCCCACTATCTACTCTATCATGCCCTTTGATGATCTTACAGATTTCTATAAGATCCCCTCTAATTCTTCTATATTCTAGAGAATATAGGCCCAAATTGGTCAGCCTATCCTCGTAACTCATCCCCTTCATCCCTGGTACCAACCTAGTAAACCTACGCTGCACCCCCTCCAAGGCAAGTACATCCTTCCTTAAATAAGGAGACCAAAACTGCACACAGTATTCCAGGTGTGGTCTCACCAGGGCCCTATACAGTTGCAGCAAGACTTCCCTACTCTTATATTCTAACCCTTTTGTAACAAATGCCAAGATACCGTTAGCCTTCCTAACTGCTTGCTGTACCTGCTAACTAACTTTTTGTGAGGGCTACTCACCACCACCACCACCCCCCCCCCCCCCCCCCCCCCCACAGTGCCTATCTTTCCTGTAAACTGAGAATCCTGGAATATTGAACTCCCACCCTAGATCTCCTTGTAACCATGTTTCAGTGATGGCTACTAGATCGTACCCATATGTGTCTATCTGTGCTTTTAATTCATCATTTTTATTCTGAATGCTTCGTGCATTCAGATATAGCATTTCTAATTTCCTACCATTTCCTCTACTCTCTGATTCCTTATCTGCTTTGCCAAGCTTCTTAACCCTAGTTAACATATTCCTATTATCTGGCATGCTATTCTGCATTGTCTTATTTTTTCTATTTTCTTACCTATATACTCCCCCCCCCACCCCCTCTTTATTAGTTCAAATTCCTATTTACCTCCCTATTAATTCATTTAGCTAGGACATTTGTCCCAGCCCGATTTAAATGCAGGAATTTCTCTGAAAGCTTTCTTTTCCCCCGATACTCATTCCAATGGCCCATATAAAGAAACCCCTGAGTTCAGCACTACTCTTAGCCAAGTCCTTAATTTGTTTGTTCAAGTACTAATTGTTATATGGTACAGGCAGTCATCCCGATATCACCACCTTCGATGATCTTGACTTCAATTTGGACCCCAGCTCTTTGAATTCCCTTCTCAAGTCATCTTGGCCAACTCTACCGATGTCATTGGTATCTATGTGACGTACTACCAACGGATCCTTGCCCTCGTATTTTAAATTATCCTTTAGCCCTGCCGAGACATCCTTCACCCTGGCCCCAGGGAGGCAACAAAGCCTTCGGGTCTTCTGGTTGGTGTTGCCTAATAGTCTCATCCCCAATGACAACAACCATCCGCTCGTTTGCCCCAGTGTTAGAGGTAGTCTTTCCTTCCACCTCACCAGCTTCCTTGTCGATACAAGTTCCAAGGATCTCATATCTATTGTTCAAGGTTAATGCCGGATTTACTACCACTCTTTCCGTTGTTCTCCTGACCTCCTGACTGTCCATTGACCTATCCTGACCATAACCAATTATGTTGACCGTATATTCCCTCAGGGGAGTGACTGGCTCCAGGATGTAGCTATCCAGGAAGTACTCACTGTCTCTGATACTCCATAGTGTCGGCACCTCGGATTCCAGCTCAGCCACTCTGAGCTGGAGCTGCCTCAGTTGTGCAGAAGATGTCTTTCAGTTTTGTTTTCAGTTGTTTGAATTACTCCTTTTCGAAGACACTTCCACTGCTAGACTGACTGTTGCTTCCTCTTCTAGAACAGCAGCAAGTTGACATATGAGTTGCCATTATTGCAGTTGTCAAACAACTGAGAGACACCATACATCACGAGGCTCTCCTAATTGGCTCCCGTCAACGTTTCCACAACTCAGGCACACTCCACCTTACTAAGGCAGTCTGGAATCTTGGTATCTTGTTTGACGCTCAACTGTCCTTTCTACCCCACATCTGTGTCATGACCCGCTCTGCCTTTTCCCACCTCCGCATCATCACCCGGCTCCGCCACAGCCTCACCCCTCAGGCCACTGAAACCCTCATCCATGCATCCATCACATCTATGCTCAACTATGCCGACTCTCTGCTTGTCAGCCTTCCCAACCCTTCCCTCCACAAGCTGCAGGTCATCCAGAACTCTGCCGCAGCAGGCTTTGTGACCCCATTACCCACACCCCCTCCCGGCTACACTAGCTTCCCATCCCCCATAGTGTTCAAAATCACATTAGAGACCCGCCACGGTCTTGCTCCTTCCTACCTGTGCGACCTGCTGACCCCATATCAACCTGCACACTCTCTCCGCTCAGTAGGCTTTGGCCTGCTCCACGTTCCCCCGCCCACCCCGCCTGACCATCCGTGATCGGGCCTTCAGCCTTTCTACCTCTACCCTCTGGAACTCCATCCCACATTCCCTCCGCCTTGCCCCTTCCCTTGCCTTCTTCAAGACGCTCCTCTTTGACCATGTTTTCGGTCACTTCGTTCCCACCCCCACCCCATCCACCCTCCCCGATCCCGACCCCCAGCTCGGGTCCAAAACATCGCCTTGGGACATCCTCCTGACATGAAAGGCGCTATACATATGTAGTGTAATTTTGTTGTTATTGTTTCAATGGTTCAGTTAGCAAAGTCACTACCAAGTGTCAAACTAAGGCTGAGATACCTGGATATTTCAATTCCTGCTCGGTTAACTGATCTCATCTGGGTGGTACCGGGAACCTAAGTTGGCCTCAGCAACTCGGCTGAAAACTCAGCCAGGTTCCAGCTCATGTTTGCTATTAAATCATTGCTGCTAGAACAGATGGATATATGGTATAGATGAGGACTTCCCCACACCTGACGAAAATCTCCCCATCCTCCAAACAAAAATGGTCAAATAGTCTATTGTTAAACATTGGTACCGGTTTAATGGTACATTGAATGTTTTTTATATTAGTTGTGCTCAAGGACTTATCAATGCTGAAGGTCTTGAAGCTGGGTCCTCAGCAGTGATTGAGTTTCATCTCACAGTTTGCATTCAATTGCCAGTTAATAATAATAACAACAGTAAGAATTGCTTGCTTTCTATTTCCAAACAAAACCCCCAGAAAAGCTGGAATCCTGCTAACCAGGGGTTGAGTTGCTATTTCACATAGTCTAATGGCTTATGTGTTTTATACTTTATTTAATATCTACCCTATGCTGTGAATGGCAAAGACAGTGGCTACCAAGCTGTAATACACATCGCACCTGCTGTGACCTTAATCATGTCTCTTCCCCCACCCTGACATGACTGCACAGTGCAAACATTCAACTGAGCCACAGTGCATTTATTGAGATTTTCACAACTATTTGATGCTAATTGATACTGATTAATGCAAAGTTTCCTTACACTGCAAGAGAATTGTTTTGATATATTTCAAAATAATACAAATGCAAGTTTTACCTTAATAAACAAAAATGCCAGTGATTACAAATTGACTTTTTAGTTATAGATCAACAAATGGTTTTAGAATTCATAAACAGTAACTTATATCAAGTTGGACTTTTATTTACAGGGGGATATTTCCATGGTGAACAACCTGCTAAAAGTTTGCAAAATGCTATTCTAAACCTCTGTGCACAGGTAACCAAACAATTTGCTTATCATTTAATCGTAACGTTATATAATCACAAATTTTATTTTCAGTTTAATAAATGTGATCTGGTTAAGGAGCAAAAGTAATAGAATCAGCACATACATTCCCCTACAAAATACATTGTCACAACATTTTACAGTACATCCTGTGAAACGTTTTGAGACATCCCCCCAATGTGAAAGGTGCTCATATCAAATACATGGATCATTATTATTATGATTATCATTATAGCCATTTGTGTAAAGCCTATAGGATATCAAAAGGTGACGTGTGGATATATGATTCTGGATAATTCCAAAGTAGGACTTTAGTAGAAACATATATACATTTCAAAAATTCCATCAAAATAATTTAAATGAGTATCAATAATTATTAAGCTAAATTAAGCTAAATACAATACCAAATTGCATTTGTAAAGCGCCTTTCATGTCGGGAAGCCATCCCCAAGCTCTGAACAGTCAGGGATTAAGACGCAAGCAGGGGTGGGGGGAGCGGTTGGGATCAGAGAGGATGGAGGGGCTTGGGACCAGGGAGTGTGGAGGGTGGAAGGGTGGCCGAAGATACGGTCGAAGAGGAGGGTCTTGAGGCGTGCCTTGAAGGAGACAAGGGAGGGAGAAGGGAATGTGGGATGGAGTTCCAGAGGGTGGGGACAGAGAGGCTGAAGGCCCGACCGCCAATGGTGGGGCTGGCCTGGCAGGGGACATGGAGCAGGCCGGAGCCTGCTGAGTGGCAGGAGCAGACAGATTGATAAGGGGTAAGCAGGTCGGAGAGGTAGGAAGGGGCAAGGCCATGGAGGGCCTTGAAGGTGAGGATGAAAATTCTGATCTCTATCCTCTGAGGGATGGGGAGCCAGTGGAGCCGGGCGTGGGTGTGATGGGGTCACGGAGCCTAGGGTGGGAGAGGGGACAACCTGCAGATTTCTGGATGATCTGCAGCTTGTGGAGGAAAGATTTGGGAAGGCCGACAAGCAGGGCTTTGGCATAGTCGAGCCTGGTTGTAATGAAGGCATGTATGAGGGTTTCGGTGGCCTGAGGGGGGAGGCTGTAGCGATATTGGGCAATGTTGCGTTGGTTGGGGAAGGCAGATCGGGTCACGGCACAAATGTGGGGGAGAAAGACAGTTGAGGGTCGAACAAGATGCCTAGTTCCTGATAGGTTTGGTGAGGTGGAGTGTGTATCCATGGATTCTGATGCTGCCAGTGCCTGAATGCGGAGGCGCTGGCGCGAGCCAATCAGAAGCTCCTCGGTCTTTCTGACTTTCAAATGTAGAAATTTGGCTCTCATCCAGGACTTAATGTCTGTTAGGACATCAGTGGTCCCGGGGTCAAGGGTGGAGGCAGAGAGATAGACTTGGTGTCATCTGCATACATGTGAAAGTTGACCCCCATGTCTGCGGATGATGTCACCAAAAGGGAGGATGTACATGTTGAAGAGGAGAGGACAGAGCTCTGAGGAACACCACACGAGACAGTGCGGGGGCTGGAGGAGAAGCTATTTGTGGAGACAAAGTGGAGCTGGTTTGAGAGGTAGGACCTGAACCATTCAAGGACAGAACGTTAAAAGTTAAGGTGAAAGGAGAGGCGTGGGAGGAGGGTAGGTACTGCTTCAAACATACAATAGGAGGCAGCACAGACAGACCTGCTTTGAGACTCCTGTTTGATCACATCTATGGTTACCTCCCTCTCCTCTTTTTCCCTTGCTTTGCATCCAAGCCCAGTACTGGTCAGCAAGAAGCTATTCTGTATGAAGGGTGCTAAATAAATGCAAGTTGTTGTTGAGTAAAGTTCAGCAACTACTCAACAGCTAGTTATCTTGAATTACTATTGTAAATCTGCTAAAACATGAAAAAGTTCAATCCACAACTTGTGTATGTGTTGTTTTTCTTCCTGGCTTTAAGAGCAAAATTCTCATGTTCCGAGGTATGAAAATGTTTCCCATTATCTTAAAATTTAAATCACAAAGAATTTGGAAAAGAGTCTTAAATTAAGCCTTAATTTAGAAGTTTTTTTTACATTTCTTTTTTATTATTGTGGAAGGAAAATCAGCTTTCAAATTAAGCCAAATTTCAGGCTTGTGTTTTCAAACTTCCTCGCAATCTTAAATTTTAGGTCAGTGGTTTTAAGCCTAAGAACATGAGATTTTTCAAGCCCAAGAGGAAGAGTAACTGTTGGTGTTTCGCCCATGAAATATAGTCAATTTACTTTGCAGGATATTCTGTGAAGCTCTTTAAGACGTCTCAACGATGTGATAAGACTCTATATTGAATGCAAGGATTATTATTATATTTATCATAAACTTGTTTTCTTAAGTTAAAGTAAACTCTGATGCATGACTGACACAGTATATGTTGTGTTATTACAGTTGAAGAATGATGCAGTGGCTTTGGTGGATGTCATTGCTCCTCCTGACTTTATTTTGAATTCACCTATTGGAAAAGCTGATGGCGAGGTACTGCAAGTCTTGGTTTAATTTCTTCATTTTCCACGGTATTCTGTTCTGTGCCTTCTTAACTCTTCATAGGTTACCTTAAGGAAGAGCTCATGCAAGATTTCTGACACAACAATGCACTCACTAATGTGCTGATCACTAAGGAATTTAAATTCACAAGAAGGAATGCTAGCAACTCCATCAGGAATTTCATAGCTTGTCAACATATCAACCTAGAAAATAAGGAATGAATCAGAGCAGTTGTTGAGTATTCCAAGGTGTGATTTTAACATTGGTAGAAAAGCTGTTGGTCCTCTAAAAATGTCATACTTACAAGATGCAAGATACAAATACATTTGCTGGTCTGTTGTGAGACCCGCCCATCAGGAGTATTGAGTGCAGTTCAGGCCTTAAGTTCAAAGCAAATATATCGCCACCCTGGAGAGAATTCAGAAATGAGCTTATGGAACAAGTGAAGAATGTTGGGCTTGTTATCTTTGGAAAAGAGGAAACTTTGTGGTGACATAATTGATGTTTCTAGATTGTGAAGGGAATTAACAGTTAAAAGAAACAATCCAGTCAAGTTTTTCACTGCGATAAAGGGTTGAAATGTCAAGAGAAGCATGTTTAATATGTCAGGAAATTAAGAATTGAGGGAATGAGAAAATCACGCAGGGCTCCAAATACTCACCGACACTGGGTTAGGGCTCGGAGGGCATCTGTGGAATTTTATTCCAGTAGAAGGGAGAAGGAAAGCAGTCAAGCATCTTTAAAAATGGATGAAAATTGGAGTGGAAAACTTGGCAGAAAGGAAGCAATGTAATAAACACTTTGGTGACAAGTTGTTATTATTCTCTAACTAAGAACCATGTTCTTAGTTAGAGAATAAAATGTGATTTTTTAAAGAATTTCCTTCTTATTGAATAATAGAATTAAACTCTTGCTGAAAAGATATACATGTATGTGTATATATAATATATTGTATATATTGTATGATTCAGTGCATGGATTTAAAAAAAACACTCATATCCTAGACATACACATTTTAGCTTTATTCTTCTGTGGATTCTCTTTTGAGTTTCATTCTTGGGAAGAGCAAAACAGATTAATTGCTTTTTCTGTCTTTACAGATACATAAAAACCTGTGGACAGCAGTTCTTCAGGGAAAGTCGGTACTTGAGAGACCATCGTGGTGGGCAGAATTTTGTGTCAACAAACCTTCTGTCAATAGCCTGAGGTCAAAACTCTGATTCAGCCACCTTCTGAAAGCACGTAAATACACCTGGAGTTATGACCAATCTCTGAACCATATCATCTGTGACTTTCAGTTAATGCTGCGTAGAATTATTCTCAAACAAATTGTCATTCCTTTGCAAGAATTTACATGAAGAGTTTATGTTCAAACAATGAATGATTTGAGTGAAACTGAATTGAAAACATGCAATTTTCAGTACATGACAGGGAATCAATAAATCATCCTTCAGAGGAGTAATTGCAAGGTTTCTGCTATGTTTGAATATGCCATCGAATTTGCTATTCTGGTAAAGTGCCAAGGCAACAGTTAAACAGGTAGTGGCTCAAATGGGAGCAGAACTGTGAATGTACTAATGATGTTTGCTGTTGAACTTCACTCAGTGAATTGAGTGTAAGGTGAGTTGAAGTAGCCTTATTCCTTGAGATGCATTGACATATCTTAAATTCTTATACAGCATTGCTTGTCGTTCATTGTTACCCATATTCCACTGTTTGTGAATCATAAGAAAGAATGATGTGAATTTGAAAATGAAAAGTTAAAATAAATTTGCTGAAATATGTATTTGCTCATGAATGTTTGTCTTTAGATTTGCTCCTTGTTCAAAGTAATTTGATTAAAAATAAAAGTTTGGATACATAATTGTTATTTTTGCATACAGCTTTTAGAAAAATACGTAAAGATAAAATTATGTTAAAGTGGCTTTAGCTAATTCACCTTAAAGTATGTGTATATTTTCCTATCTAAGACTTTAAACATTGTTCCCAAATGTTTCAAATATACGTCAGTTCCAAACACATAGCCAATGCAGCACTAACCAAATGTAATTGTTCTGTACTGAACCTCTCTGATGATTTTACAGCAACCCTTCCCAAACCACTGCTAAACTAATTCTCCCTGACGATTATACACCACCGGGTTTCACCACAGTAATATATCGAAAAAAGCTGCAGAATTTTCCAAATTGTTTTACATTAACACAATGAATGTCAGGTGAACTCAGGATTCCATGTTAAAAATGGTTACTAGCAGTTTACTGAATAATAATAATAATCCTTGCATTTGATATAGTGCCTTATCACGTCTTCGGGACGCCTCAAGGTGCTTCACAGAATATGTGAATAAAGTGAATTGACTGTATATTTTGTGGGCGAAACGCAGTAGCAAATTGCGCACAGCAGTGTCCCACAAAGTGTTGTGTATTGAAGTGACCAATTTTTTTTAAGGAATCATTACCCCCGGAAAAGCAATCCACTAATCGACTAACAACCAGGTTCCTACTTACTGCTGGGTAAACAGGCATGTGGAGTGAGAAACTTGCCTAATATTTCGCCCTAACACCAATCAAACCCAGGTCTCTCGCTTGCAAGACGAGTTCTCTAACCACTAAGCTACAGGACTCCACGAATGATCGTGTCTGCAGGACCAAACATCAGTATATGTTAACACCTTCAAGGGAGATTTTAATAAAGGCAAGAAAAATAACTTTGTTCACAGTGTTATGGTATTTAGTTGTTTGTCATTGCTAGATTTTGTGTATTTTCTTTTAAAGCCATTGTGACTTCGATATTGCAATGACCTTAGAATCACCTGCAACCCTTTCCATTGATTGTTAATTCTATAATTAAAGGCACCGGTCACATAATTCTCTCTGCACACATACACTCACACATGTTAACCCAACCCGCGTATTACACACCGACTATCATGAAAGGACAATCCAAAATGAGCCTAAGGTCTGTGGTGAAGAAGTTCAGGGCCCAGCATCATACTCCAATGCGAACTATGTCTGAAGTAGACAAACGTATGTTTATGTCTGGTCAATGGTGGCCAGCTTGTTTAACTCTTATCAACAGCATAAAAGAATGAACTAAATTCTTTTTTAAACTGATTGTGATCACACCAGCTTTAATGTCGCCCAGGGTGGATTGTACTCCAGAATTCCATAGGCTAAACAATCCTGTAATTACCCGTAAATGAAGTAACCATTTCAACAGCATTAATTTTACAGATGGCAAAGATATGATTAGACTATTAAACTTGTACACTTTGTTGGCTCACAGTGGAAAAGTCTACTGAGTGAAAGGCCCTACTTTTCGGTGGCACAAAGTTTGTTGTATTAAAACAAACCTTGCTCATCATCAGCCTTACTTGAATTTTGTGAATATGTTACTTTGTCATATTCAAAATATACTTTACTCACTGGTGTAATGCAGCTGATCAACATCATTGAGCATCACTTTAAAGAATTTCCCCAAAAAAACCTCTGTGCTGGTACAAAGCAACATTGCAGATAATTTGTGGGTATTTTCTCATAGCTGGGAAGTTATCAATCTCAATCATGACAGTTAAATTTTCATTCCCTATCTACAATACTGAATGGACATTAAATGCGTAGTCACTGAGGGGAATAAAGATCAAACAGAGAAAACGTCAAAGGGATATAGTCCTTATACAAACTGGCAAAGTCCATTTTGAATCAAAATTACAATCTTCAGATTGTGAATAAAGAGAACTCGAGGCAGTGTTGTAATTTTAGAGTAATTTAATGTCCCAAAGTATGTGTTTGCAAAAAAACACAAATCTGTCATGTTATTGCTGTGTCATATTGGAAAATATGCCTTTTCATAGTAGCATTTCTACAACATGCTTTTTCATGATTGAAAGGTTACAAATACGCCACATGCTCAATATGAGTGGCAGTCTTTGGTGTACAAAACCAAACTGTCTTAGTTATAACTAAAATAACTTCAAAAATTCTAATAGCACTTTAATACAGTACAAAAACACTTCATAATACTGTTCCTTTCTCAATCTGTTACTTGCCTGAGGAAGATGATTTTAACCCTTTACAGCCTGTGAGTCTACTACATTAGTAACTATTTGGTCAATATACTGTAGCATCTTTTGATGTTACAGTCATTAAGCTTCTCTATATTAATGTTCAACAGTTAACGTTTGTTTTTCTCCATAAAGAAACATCAATATGGAACATTGTCCACTTTGTATTTAGTGACCCCCAGTATCGTCTGAAGATAAGAGCTAAAGCAAAGTCCTCTTCACTATAATAAGTAACAATATTGTTCCCTCAAAATATAACTCAAGTATCCCAAAAATTGGCACAAATCCAATAGGTTCATGACCACTGAAGGTGTGAGATAGCAAGGCACACATACTTCAGTTGTGAGTTTTACAGATTTTAAAGTGGGGTGATATTTATCAACCCATGTCTGAGCTGGACTCAATGAGGGGTAAGAGTTATCTATAAGTGAAGATAGATTATAAGCAACTGTCTTACTTCACTGTAACATCTGTTTCGGGAGCTTGATGCAGAGTGAGTGCATCCTTTACAGAGTCAACAGTAGTCACAGCATTTTGAGACTGGAAAGGGTTAATTACATTTGCTGTTTTTCAATCACATAATTATATCAGGTTCAATGTTAAAAAGTATATCATCATTTCCCCTGCGAACTTCAAAGAGCAACGGAGATTCATTCATCACTGCGTCCTGTAGATCATTTGTCGTCCTTAGGGGTCGTCCATTTACCTTGACAATGATGTCCCCATCTTCGATTCCACCCCTGGACAAGGTAAAGAAATGGTTAAACATTAAAGCATTACTTTAAACATACATTGCAGGTTTTTTTTTAAATGATTTCCCAACCACGATGGCACATTCATTACAAAGGCAAGGCTCCCTACATTAATATTGAAATAAAGAGTAAATGAAAGCTTTAAGTATTCCAACATTCATCAGGTAGACTTATGTATTGTGCATGAATTGTACAGCACAGGAATTGTTTGAATTGACCTCCTTGCTCTGTGCAGACCCGATGGGTTGAATGGTCTCCTGCACTCCGATTTCTAAGATGTTGCATTTACCAAATAAGGCAACATGTATTTTTACACCAGATAAACAAACAGGAATTTCTAGCTATTCTCATTCTGATGCGTTTGTGAAGACTTCTAATTCTTGCTCCAGACAACTCTCAGACCCTATTCAGCTTGGCTCAGTGGTGACACAATCTCCTCTGAGTCAGAAGGTTGTGAGTTTGAATCCCATGTTGGGACTTGAACTCACATAATCTAAGGCGACATACCAATGCATTGCTGGGGGTTTGTTGTATTGTCAGAGGTGCCATCCTCCAGATGAGACATTAAACCGAAGTCCCGCCTGCCTGTTCAGGTGGACGTTAAAGATCACATGGCACTATTCGAAAGAGAAGCCAGTGTGTTTTGGGCAACAATCCTCCCAAATAAAATTGATCATTCATTTCATGGCTGTTTGTGTGACATTGCTGTACACAATTGTGCTGCTGTTTTTTGCCTACAAATACACCATCACTCCATAGTAATTGTTGTGAAGTGCTTTGGGACGTGCTTCCAATGTGATAAGATAATATGCCAAATACAAGGATTATTATCATTATTCCTTTGCTCCCTCGACATCCACTGCAGTTAAGTACTCCTTTCTGTTAATGTCACATTGTTCAATTGAAAAGCTTCAATAAGAAAACTTTTCAAGAGGCTATCCAGGACACAGACTTTCTTCCATCAGTGTAATAACATCAGATCTGTTCGCAAATATAGTTCGTTGTGTAACTTGAAGCACAAAAGAAAACAGAAGTAATGACTCATTTGTTATTTCTCAAGAGAAAGCTCTGAATGGCCTTAATTAAGCATCTTATTTCCATGCTTTCTCTTGCCAAAATTGATATCACTGTGCAGTCCTGTTGCTGCAGTTCTTAGGCTAAGGTGACCTTGTATCCCATAAATGATATTGTATCCTCTGCTCTTCTTTCCACCCTGTCCCCGTCACTTACTCACCAGCTCAAATAATTCTTAACTTTGAAGTTTCTGGTTTTGAGCTTCTCTCTACAGTACCTCAGTGAGTTTGTACCCATGAGATTCAATTTTCTGTTCACCCTTTGAGGCACTCGACACATTTCTCAAATTCCACATCACAGTGCAGATCAAACAGCTATTCAGCTTTTCGTTACCTTGACAATTTCCTATTTGTTAGCACAATAGACACCCTTGGCTGTCATGGGCAAGCTTGAATTTCTCTTCACTCACAACAATAAAGGTCTATTCTCTCTAATTTCCCTCACTTTCTTTAGCACTGAGCTCATTTACCCATGGATAAAGTGCACTATCAGTAAAGCCAAAGTCACAGCAGAGATGGCACGATATTTGAGTCTGTTCTCTGTGGCCAAACCATTTCTGATTAAAGGATGTAACCTTCATTCCTGAAACACTTTAATGGAACTTCATTCTAACTATCTTTGGGCTTCTTCAACTACCCATGGACACAGCTGATAACTTTGTGTATTTCTTTCAGTGCTTCAATACCTAACATTCTGATAGCTTATCCTGCACTTATAACAAATTGTTCAGACATCTAGGTGCAAGATGCCAAGACCCCCACATGCTAATGCATAGGGCTTCTATTTTTCAGGGTTTAAAACATCCATATTTCTGGGGGGTTTTTAACACTTTTGTAGTTCTAAAACGTTTTTATCAGGGTTTTTCACTTACTTTTAATGGAAGTTGCTGTCACGCCTGCAACAGAAGAGAGGTACTCTCACACATGCTTGCACAGTGCGCATCAGGACCAGTAACAATTTACGGGATTTTGCTATGTTTATTGGGTAAACACTATTTTTTTTGTATCGGGGTGTTTTATCGAGGGGGGGAGGGGGATGTGTGGGTTCGGTTAAAACAGAAAATCAGAAACCCTATGTATGTATCTGACTGAAGAATTGATCACATGACTTTTAAGGGACTGATAGAGGTCAGAGTTTGAACCAAATTTCTACTCGGAGTATTTTCACCAGGTGGTGCTTTAGTAGAATATCAGCTCCCCTACCTTGGACTGTGTGAAGCACGTTGAGACGCCATCCCTACATGAAAGGTACTAAATAAATGTAATTTGTTGTTGTAACTTGATCATGACTGACTGAAATGTACATTGCAATAAAAATGAAAAATTAACCTGGCACAGTTCTTGTCACAGAGAGCAGGGATTATTCTTATTAAGTTTTATGTTTTAACCCTGTAAGTCAAAGCCTAATGCATAGATTGGTCTAAACTGGACAAGTAGCAGAAAGCTTACCACACAGTGCTCTCAAGGGCAAGCTATGCGGTTTTGGCTGGTTAAACTCCAACCTACCACAACACACACACAGTGGTCACCAAGCCTTGGCACTAGACCAGAAGTATATTCTCTGGAACTAGGTAAGTAGGGTGTGTTCCTCCAGGGATAGAATGCATTTCATTCCAGACAGCAAAATTTTCATGTTATGTTTCCACGTTTTGTTTGGGTCAGTCTGGTTTGGATACTCGTAAGCTTGGTGATCAATCAGACACCTGACAGATCAAGTAACATTCCTATTGAAAATCCTGTTTGAAGCACATACAGTGTTGTCAAAGTCACTAGAGTTAAAGGGAAGTAGAATATCTTAGCCATTGAGTTTTGTAATAACAAAACCGTAGCCTGTCTAATTACCACTTGTCTGTTCCAGTATTCTGGGTGGAGGCTGTTGGGAGAGTGCCTGTGTTTCAGTGCTCAACTAATTTAACATACCTCTGTGCTGGAGAGTCTGGAATGACTTCATGTATATAGATACCAGTGCTGATGTCAGGAAAATCAGGGTGTCTCTGTTTTAATTCTTGCATCAGACTGAAGGAGAGCATAAAACAAACATATAAGGAAAACTGAAAAAACTCATTCAACATTTCACTGCTTGTAATTTCAAAACAGGACATCTAGTTTAGAAATGTTGCTTTACAAGATTTGTGTGAGATTCACAAAACTGGAAGAGTCTGAAAAAAATGACCATGCTGGTGGGAAGCAGCAAGAAAAACTGTTATATTTTCCACACCCAATAAAGCACATAGGACCATATCCTCCCATCCTCACACACTTTACATTTTGTCTCATTAAAGTACATAAAAATTAAACAAAATAGAACAGGTTTGCTAAAGACTTTTCCCACCCTCAAACCACACACCAGATGTGACAGTGTTTGGAACATTACTCTTGAGTGCATTACTTGGTTCAGTTGCTATGCCATGTGATTTAGCTACTAAATATATAAGGATTTATTTATGTTATTCTTACAGGGGAGTAGCACAGCTACATTTTGAAATATTTTAAGAAATGGTGTTAGAGTTGAAGAGCAATACACATATTAGTGAGTAAATTATAAAAAATAAGAACATATCTTCACATATCTTAAAGGGTTGACTGCTCCTTTAAGATGGTAGACTCATAGATCATAACCCAGTTCATGGAGTCCTGTAGCTCAGTGGTTAGAGCACTCCCTTTGCAAGTGAGAGACCTGAGTTCAGTTCCAGGCAGGGCGAAACCTTGGGTAAGTTTCCTTACTCCACACGCCTAATAATAATCCCTCCAAAACCAAAAAACAACAATAAATAGGTCATTTTCAATCTACGACTGTTTGTGGGACATTGCTGTGCGCAATTGGCTGCCGCGTTCGCCCACAAATATACAGTCAATTCACTTTACGGTGTGTTCTGTGAAGCGCTTTGGTACGTCCTCCCGACGTGATAAGCGCTATATTAAATGCAAGGATTATTATTATTAATAGTTTCCTGTCTTTGTTATTTAAAAAGCACAGCACCACCTGCACTCACAGTCAGCACCATCTGCAATCGCCTTAACCTGGGGTCCTGTAACTTAGTAGTTAGAGCACTCACCTCACAAGCGAGAGGGCCTGGGTTCAATTCCCGGGCAGGGCAAAACATTGGGCAAGTTTTCTTACTCCACATGCAAGTCTCTGTTTATTTATGAGTAAGTAGGAACCCGGTTGTTAGTCGATTGGCAGTCGCTTTTCTGGGGGTAATAACCTCTTAAAAAAATGATTTGATCACGCAATCCACAACTGTTTGTGGGTCACTGCTGTGCGCAATTTTCGCCCACAAAATATACACTGTAGAGTATATAATGTGAAGCGATTTGAGACATCTCGAAGATGTGATAAGGCCCTATATCAAATGCAAGGATTATTATTAACCTATATAGGTGGGATGCATGGAACTCACAGTTTGGTTTGGATACTCTTAAGCATGCTGATGGTTTCCCGCATGAGGTCAGACACCCGACTGACAAAAAAAAAGGCCACATGTAATTGCCAGTAATCACTGCCAGTAACTTATTCAATTATAGAAATTACTGTCATATTGACAGTACAAATCATCAAATCAGTAAAAGTGGCACAAATTGCATGTTTAAGAAGGAAATTGGACCATGAGTAGACAACTGTTCATCTAACCTAAAATGATATTTCAGATTAGATGAACAGAAAGCATCTGCATGTATAGTGATGCCAGCAACAGTGGCATGATAAAGCATCATCACCAATAGCCTCAGGATAAAGCCATGACATATAGTCCTAGATATTCTGGAAATCACCCAATTGCTCCTCATAGAAAGGATATTTCAGCCAAACAAAAGGCTGCAAACAGCCATCACTTAGCAGACAGAATATCTCTGAAGCAAAAAGAGAAAATGAAGCTTATCAACTTACTCAGGAGTTATGGTCAACATCTTCACTCCAATGTAACGCTTCCTTGTAACTTTAACTTGTAAATTCAAGAAAAAAAACATAAAAATTGCATTTGATACAGTGTCTTTCATGTCGGAGAATATCTCAAAGCACTAGGCAGGATTTACTATAAAGTCTAGTGACTGAGTATTCTGTAGGTGAACGTGGCAGCCAATTTCATACAGCAATAGCTCAAAGGAAAGGGCAAAGAATCTGTATGCCTCAGAAAGTGTTTACTTTTGATACAAAATTATCTTTTGTTTTTCCTTTTTGCAATAGTTTTGATGTCAGATGTATGCTTGCTCTGCTTAACAGATTTGAATTAATAATGATCAACCTTGCTTATATTAGAATTAATTCATTACAATGGTAATATTTATGAGTTTGGCTTAAATTATTAAACATACACAGCATGACAAGTCATTTGATAAACATCCAGGTTCAAAGACCTCCTTTCACAACTACAAAGATTTTACAATGCTTATAAAATGCATTGTTAGCTCCAGCCTAAGAACAGGTACCTATGAAATGATGTAAATGATAAATTTTGCAACAAAGGGACACAATAATAATATATTCATCCTTAACTCATTTACAAACCTTGGCCTGTACAGCGCCTATAAACGTTCTCCCAGCATAAAAGGCACTATATAATTATAATTGTTTTTGTTATGAAATGTCACATTTTTCACCATGTGTTTCAAAATACACAACCACAATATCTGATTGCCTGTTGTCATTACAGTGTGAGCACTGAGAGAACTTCGAAGGTTGTCCAGAAAACATAACAAGAACTCAACATAGTGAGCTCCACTTGTGATCTGCCAGAGGAAATAAAACTATCAGAAGTGCTAATGTTTTAAAAAGTTGTCTAGTGCATGTTTTGGGATTTCTGGAACTTTTGTGTCTTGGGACGTCCTCGTGAAGTGAAAGGCGCGATCGAAATGGAATTTGTTGTTGTTGTTCATAGGCTTTTTCATCTATAAATATTTGGATCAAGAACATTTAGTTTTCAGGTGATTCAGGTGGATAGCAGAGGTGACATATGTGGATAATTTCTTAAAGTGAACTTTCCTGCCTCATTTGCTCAAATGCCATCAAAGTGCTGAGATATGTACTTTGGGTAGTTTTGCAAAACATCATTCTTCAGATCTCAAACACAATTACATAATATAATGCTCATTTCTGAATGTCAAGGCACATTGCTAATATTACATCCTATTTTCTCTCCAAAAACAAGTTCACCCTCAAGCCATTTCTTTTTCCTGCCTGTGATTAAAAATAGTTGGCTACCCAGTACTTACCAGTGGTCTGAACTGCAGTCGTTCACTTTATCTCATCTATGCTGCTATTTGATTCTTGTTCTTACAAAGGACAAGGTTTCGCAATAAGTAAAGACAGAAAGTCCTGCTGTTGCAAAGAAAATCATTGTACCACAATGTCTTACCTTTGCTTTGTTTATCATGAGAATCTGTGAGGAATTGTGTGATTCGATCTGATGGAATAGCAAAGGATATTCCTGCGGTAACTTTCAGAGTGTTTATTCCTATAACCTCCCCATCCTGTAGGATGATTCACATTTTAAACACCATAAAATACTTAGAGTTAGATGAATACAATTTTTTTCACTGCATCTGTCCCTCTTGGGACTTTGCTGTGAGAACATGCTTCCTCATTTTGCTTCAGATAACTACACCCCAGATTCCAGTAAGAAATGCATTGCCAAGCTTCATAAGAGATTTAAAAAACAACTTAATTATTTACAGACGACAATGGTATCTAAAGTGTTGTAATAATTTTGTTTTTGACGACTGGAAAAGTGGTACAGCACAAATGCCATAGACCTTATTGGAAGAGAATGTATTTCAGACGCCTGCATTTCAATTAAAAATTTACAGATTTTACAACAACAACTTGCACTTATAAAGCGCCCTCCAAGCAGGGTAGCGTCAATGGCAAAGCCGGACTCCGAGCCGGGGGGAGGAGGAGGTAGCCATAAGCACGGTCAAAGAGAAGCATGTGCAAGTGCAAATATAGCATGTGCAAAACAAAATTAATTGACAAGAGCACTTACCAGATTCACCAAAGGACCTCCTGAGTTTCCATACTTCAGAATCGAGCAATAAACAAAAGAGGAGTAAATACAGTAAGTTTTAATTAAGTAAGTTAGAAGGTGATTCTCTGCTTGTCAATAAACTTTAGCTGATGTGAGTTTGACCACCAAAGATCATACAATTTCTGATAAGCAGAGAATAATATGAGCTTGAGGACAAGATTGATATACTTACCAACAAGTGGAGAGCCACCTATTGTATTTGGTGAGTTGTTGTTATTGTTAGTTGTGCCAACTCTATTAAATACAAGTTTTCTTGCCAATTTTATCTGTTATTTCTCCTCTTTTTTGAGCTACTGAGCTTTTTTTTAGTGCTCATGAATTCATGCAACAAATTACAGTGCTTAAAAATAAATAATTTCACTCCACTGGTAGCTAAATCTATTTTTATGCAAAGTTGTATGAAAGAAAAAAAGGTAGAAATGCAAGTGTAACTCAAATATCACTGATTTGTATTGATTTATCTTCATGATTATCTCCTCTGCTCATGATTCACTGAATATAAACTTTGTGGGCGAAGGAAACTTGCTACGTAACATTTTGCTCCACAATGCATCCCGAAAACAAAAGCTCAAACATATCTGTGCATATGGTAAACCCTCTCATTCAATGATGTGGATATTATCATGTGTCACTTTTACTGTCATACATTTAAATTGTGTTGCAAAGTTCAGGTTGTCAGAATTCATAGAGTTTTGCTTGAGGACGTGTGCAGTGATTAAGATGAGCAGGTATTAAACTGGATTTTTCCACAATGTAAATGTGGTGCACTCTTCTGACCACCTAGTACAGTACTGTCTTTTTCGCCATTGTACTGTCAACTCGAAAATGTCAGCAGTTGAAATTATTAGCCAGGGTTGAACAATGAAAATCGTACATGGATCATGATGGAACTGCCTTGATAGGCTACATTTTGTGCCATTTTTCTTATGTTTTGGCTTTTGGGCGCACATCTGTGGGTTACATTAGTGACATTCCCAAATTGTCACCTGTGATGGTTTTGAAACCCTGCAACCATATATTAATATTGTCATTGTTCTCAACAGTCTCTATCCTGATAATGTCAATATCCTCTAAGACAAAGAATACAATTGTCTGAAATTGGAGCTAGAGAAGACTCGGGGAATGCTTGCAAAAACAGAAAGTTTCTTCCTGTCTCAGGCTACATTATGATCCAGTTAGCTTGATACATTGTACTTACATTGATGATGGCATCTGTCTGAATATAATCCATGTCTGAGTCTCTCAGGCCCAGTTCCTTCCCATCCCTCTGAGCGGAGCTGACAATACCAGTAGTTACTGTATTTTGCAGAGCAAATGGGCTCCCAATGGCCACTACAAATTCTCCCGGCCTGAGGTCAACTGACCGTCCCAGTAACAGCACTGGAAGCTTTTTCTGCAAAGTATCATAATGGTAGATTGAACCATACATTTTACATCATAAGTTATTATGTCATTTTATAATTCTCATCCCCTCCCCATCCATCCTTGCATGTTGGTACAGTGGACCTGAAAAATTCCACTCTCCATTCTACCTCACGACCACTTTTGTCAAGATGCCTTCTTCTTATTTTACTTTAAAATTTTTATTAGTGATTTTTTAAATCTTCAATAAAGGATTCAGGATTATCAGATGACAAGATGATAGTCAAAGGAATGTTTGGAGAAATGAGATGATTAGGCTAGATGGGCAATGGTCAACTCCTGCTTAAAATAGTCACCAAGGACTGTTACTGTGGGAATCAGGAAAATATGATGAGACAGGGAGTGCTCCTTTGAGTTTGTTGGTTAATAGAGTTAATAGAGGTCTTTATTCTGCAATTGGCTGTATTATGGATCACCTAGAAGGATTGTTGCTCACATTGGGTATCCAGGATGGAAAAAAGAATATTCAATTCCCTGTTCTCCCTTTAATGAGAACTTAAAAAAAAAGGTTAAAAGTAAAATAACAAAAAAGCATCTTGACAAAACTTAAAAAGGTACCCAACCCCAGCAATTAAAACGTAAAGTCGCTTACCTTAGAGTTAATCTTTATTGTTGCTATGTCTGATTTCTTGTCAATGTCTGTTATAGTTGCTTCATAGTTATCTCCATTGTGCACCTGCACCTTTATCTGTTGCCGACTTGACATTAAATTGTTATTAGACATAACCACGTGTGCATTGGTCACAATTAACCCACTGTCTGATATTAGAAAGCCTGAACCACTGGACAGTGGGACACTACGCTGGAACAGAGGATGCCTGTGTATATAGAGAAAATAAAATAAGACTGATAGTTTTTGAACATTCTTTAAAGCATAAATGGTATGAACTATTAATATTTTCTTTCAACCATATTTTGTTTATTGCAGTCCACCACAGTATTTGGAGAACAAAATTGGTGAAACGAGTTGCAAAATAGCTGATCCATAAGACTTTCACTCTGACAAGATCTAGTTATGGCTCCAGCATAATGAACTTCCATTTACCACCATAAGTCACTATTTGCGACATCTATTCTGACTATCACAATTTAGACATGATGCCAATGGTTGGTGGCATAAACAGAATCTACAGACTGATAATTCCCAATTTAGCTCATGAGTTTTGAGGCCAATTCTACTGTCACTACCCGAGTCCAACACATGCCACAGATCTATACAATACAGTTCACCAATTAAGCCTTTCTATATATCCTATGGGATTGATTACAAAGAATCCACGTAGCATCATTTAAGTGCTAAAATGAACCTTGATTCATATTCATTTGGAATTTCATAATGCAGAACTAAGCGATAAGAGACTCGCATTCAGGAAGAAAACAATTGAATGATGACCCAAGCTTGCTATAACATAAACAAGGTGGCCATGGCAGTGTGATGGAATATTGGTTCACATTTCCTCAGATGTTGAGTTAGAATTCTCAGCTGTGCCACCATGTTAGATTTTGAGCATATTCCAGGCAGTTTTCAGAAGGTGAGCTGCACTCCCTTACTGTTGCATGTTTATTTGTAGCCAAATGATAGCAGAGAATGACAGAGATATAATATTATAATAATAATAATCCTTGCATTTGATATAGCGTCTCAATATCAAGGAAAGGTTGCCTGACCACCTTATTACCAACGGATGGTACATTGGCAACAACACCATAAACCCAGAAACCTTTTGATTTAAAAGCTTGAGATAACAGCTTAATTGTCCACTGTTTCTAAACAAAGTAACTTGCTTTGTTGTAAAAGGACATCCAAGATATTTTAGAGAATTCTGAAGAGTTCTACATTTAAAGGCACTTCAATTACAGGTATTCTTTAAATATATTAGACTGGTAATACATCACCTGAACAGCATTCTGAGACACTATAAGATGTGAAAGGCACTATATAAATACAAGTTAAATTGTTATATTGTTATTATTTTGTTATATTGCCTTCTGAAGACTTACCTTAGGAAGCGCTCAATGTGCACAACTGCAGGAGCAATCTTCTCCACCACATCTGCTATAAAATTGAATTTGTACCTTGGGCTGTTTGGATGTGATTCACCTATACTATGCAGAAGAAATGCTGTACATTAATTATAGAATGCATGAAGTTACTAAAATATAAAATCTGATAAGCCCATAACAAATGACAAACAGTAAACGCCTTTAATAAACTATTGTATTCAATATGCACAAATAATAATAATAATTATCCATAGGTATCTAAATTGGTATAACACCTTTCATGTCAGAAGTATGTCCCAAAGGATTTGGAATATACTGCAAATTGAAAAATGCAGTGATTGTGTATGGGCAAACACAATTGCAGCGACCAATTTTGCTCAAAGCAATGTCTCACAAACAAGCCATGAAGTGAATGAGCAATTTTATTTAGGGGTTTGTTGACCACCAAAGAGAAAATCCCTTCTCTTTTAGAAATTTGTCATGGGATCTTTAACGTCTACCTAAACAGCCACAGAGAGCCACAGTTTAACATCTCATCCAAAGGCAGGCGCCTCCAATTATGCAGCGCATTCCCAGTACTGCATTGGAGTGTCACTTTAGACTATATGAGTTCTGAGTCCCAATGTGGGGCTTGAACGTACAAACATCTGATTCAGTGGAAAACGTACCAAAAAACTCAGTCAGCCCGACAAACAAATAGTCGAATATTAAATACAAATAGTCAGGAAATATGTAATTTTTTGTAGTAATGGTAGAAAAGAGAAATATCAGCAAATAAACATCAGAGTGTTGAATAAACTAAATAAACTGAATAAACTATCAGAATTCTACTGAATAAACTATTCTGGTGCAATAAGTTACATTAATTAATGTAATTCACTCCTAGTTCATAAATTCAGTCCTTAAGTTACAATAACAAACTGTTATTGAAGTAATGTCTCAGCCCATGGTTATGTGTACATCATTGACAAGTGAAACATTTTGATTTTCAAAGATTATTAGATATGTAGGGAAGATTCCCATCTAAAGTAATTAGTGCTATGTTATAATTAATTTAAAGATATAACAAATAAATTATCAAATACTCGATGGAACATGAAGTTCCATTCCTGTTAAATTCATGGAAAAGCGTGTGGAATGCAACCAGTCAGGGCTGAACATTACAGATTGCAGTATCAGACTGATATTCTGGAGCTTCACTTGATTAATTTCAAGGGTCATGGAAAGATTTCACTGTTTTATTAGGCTTATTATTTAGCAGCCTTTCCTTGTTCTGTATTTCCTAATGATTTTATGCAGACTTCTGCCTCAGTGCCTCATAGTAGGCTTCAAAGTTGTGCTTGTTAGGAGTAAGACCACTTTGTAAAGGGATGCTTTATATCAATATTCTGCTGGTTTAAAATTCACAAAAAATAAACATCATGTCAGAGGTTATGGAACAGTACATCAGAATTTCACAATACTTTAAACCAGTGTCATGTCAGCGAGGCACAGCTGTTCGCATGATTTTATAGCAGGATTTTATCGAGGCTTTGAGATCTGACCCTGGGAAAGTCAGGCCCAGACCTATCTCTAAAGAGACATTTGGAAAGGGATTATAAACAGGGATGATGTCTGACTGGCAAATGTCCATAAAACTAAATGTAAATAGCAATTAAACCTCATTGTCATGAAGCAAATGGTTCTATAATTACCTTAGAAGGATTAAATGGGACTGTCAATGAATTGCATATTTTTTTACAATAAGACAATAACATGCATATTGCAGTCCGGGGTATTAAAAATATTTTTGACACACACACCGCCTGAGGACAGATTATTGAACAGGAGGAATATTAAAGGGTATAGAGAGCAAGTGGAAGAAAGGGATTAAATTAGGTGCCTCTTGCAAAGAAAAACTCCAGCACAGCCTTAATGGCTGAAGTGCCTATTTTTCCGAGCTCAAATATTCACCTAGGCTTCAGGATCTCTTAAACATTATTTCTGAGCAGGGGGAGTGTGCTTTTTCTCTATTCTTCAGCTGAGCAAGCCCAGAAAACATATATTAAACAAAACAGATTAAAAGTCACCCAAGTGACTAAAACATGGCATTTAAAAAATGTTCACTAAAAACACAATGATGTAGAGAAAATTACAACCCACTGTACTTCTCCACTGAAGTAGAAGGGATATGCTGCATGTTCTGTTTATACTGCTGCAAGTGAAGCCACTTTACTAAGAGCGCTACATGTGAAAGACAGAAAGCCTGGACTCTGCTTCACATTTTGGGCCATGGATAAATTAATACCTGATGTTCAGGGTTCTACAAATGCAGTTGTGTGATTGCCTCTTTAGTAAGTTGAAACTTCTTGAGCAGTTCAATAAACTGTCAGGGACCTTACAACTGACCGCGAGAGATCAAGCCTAGTGTGATTCAATCCCGCCACCTTTATATTGCAGTTAGATGTCAATCACTCACATTCTCTTCAGGTCTTCTCAGGAGCTGAGCTCCAGTGCTGACTCTCAGCTCATATTTGTACTTATTTGTCATTGCCTTCTCGACATGAAAGGCGCTATATTATGTAAATTTGGATTGGATTGTATACTACACGGTTGGCAGTGAATCATTGCCAAAGTTACAGTGGTTCATCGCTAAACTTGCAGTATAAACCCAACAGAACAAACCCTCTAATTGGTGATTATGTCGATCGGTTATACACGGAGTGCAAACAAGTGTGGTGAAGTTCTAAAAGCAATGTCTCTGTAACTCCTTCAGCAACAGGTCTTATTGTCAGACCTTCCTCAAGGACCATACATTGGTCAGGCCAGGAGCTAGGGGAATATCTGTTGCTTATTTAAGTCTCTAATATCCTTAGTGCTCCTTCCCCTCCTCTTGTAATCACAAAAGGCTACAGTAGCCAAGCTTGCCTTCAAAGTGTGTTCGCGGATCCTGTATCTCAGTGGTTAGAGCACTCGCCCCACAAGCAAAAGCACCTGGGTTTGATTCCTGGCAGGACAAAATGTTGCGCAAGTTTCCTTATTCCACACGCCTCTGTTTACCCAGCAGTAACTAGGAACCCGATTGTTAGTTGATTAGCGGATCGCTTTTCCAGGGGTAATAAATCCTTTTTTTAAAAATAATAATTTGGTCACTCAAACCACGACTGTTTATGGGATACTGCTGTACCACAGTGGCTGCCGCTTTTCGCCCACAAAATACACAATCAATTCACTTTACAGTACATTCTGTGAAGCGCTTGAAGACATGATAAGGCACTATATCAAATGCAAGGATTATTTATTATTATTATACAATCTTCTTGCTCCTAAATCAGATCCTCCTCCAAACAGGTTACTTTACTAACCTCCCTAAACCCTAGGTCTGTTCTAATGTTCTACACTCCTTTCCCCTGTGTCTTTTTAGCCGCTGTATTTTGCAGACCTTCTTCTAAATGGCCTATAACATGGCCCTCCTGAGCTCAATTGTCATTTTCTTTCTTGTCGAACATTTTTCACTTGTTTTGTTATAAGAGTTGTGAATTTCAGGGACCCGGGAAACTCAAACCAATTTCCATTATCTCTTGAAATTCCATTCAACAAAGAGAGGAATGTTGGGCTTCCAGTGTCATATTTTCACTTCAAATTTAGCACATTGTGTAGTAAAATGAAACGTGAATCTTTCTGTATATCTGGCATGTAATGGTGGGGCAGGACGGCTGCTTTGCAGAACAAAATTTTGGTTTGGAAACACTATCAACCAGATTTACTTTTGTTACATTGTAGAGAATATATCATTTTGGATTCACAATTGAAAAAATACTAGTAAAAACAACGTTTGTTCCTACCATCTGCGGAAAAGATCAGAATGTATGTTATTCTGCACTATTCTGCATAATAGATTATGAATGGATATTAGCAATTTACTCTTCCAAGAATAAACTGCAGCTTTCACCTCAACTGGCTTTGGTTTGTGTTCCTGCAACTGTTCATGTGGAAGGAATTCAAGTTTCTCTTTAATAGGCTTAACCATCTGAGCCAATGTTTGTAATCAGGTTTGTAATCCCATCGAAAAACGAGCACTATTTAAATTCTTTAAATTGCTGAAGGTAATCCAACCATCTGTGACAATGATTCCATAATCTCTTTGCAATGTTTATGCAATTAGCTTTCACAAGCACTTTCACACTCACAAAAATAAAGTTTCTTAGTTAAATATAGTGAGGCATTTTTGATACTTTGAGTTTACACCTAATGTAGACCTTTACACTGCACAGAGGCTTTGTCTTTAGACATGGATGAAAGTTAAAGTGAAATGTCATGGAATGAAAATAATTTACTGTGTATGTTAATAAAAGTTGCAATATTCATTTCTCTATACATGTTTGGAAATATAATCATTTTATCAATTGCAGTAGGTTGTTGGAAACTTGCCATTTGGCTGCCGTTTTGCCCACAAAATATACAGTCAACTCTGTGAAGCTCTTTGAGGCATCTCAAAGACGTAATAAGGCATGATATCAAATGCAAGAATTATTATTATTGTAAGAGAGCCACTCGCAAGTTGACAAGATTAGTTTGAATGAAGAAGGTCCTTCTGTTCATCTGATCTCATCCTTCCAGAATACTCACCTCCCATCATAGCATCAAACTGTTTTTGATCAAACTCCACAATATTGCCAGACTCCGCCACTGCCTCACCCCTCAGGCTGCCGAAACCCTCACCCACGCATTCGTCACCTCAAGGCTTGATTACAGGAACTCCCTCCTCATCGGCCTTCCCAACTCTTCCCTTTCACAAGCTGCAGATCATCCAAAACTCTGCAGCTCGTGTACTCTCACGCACCAGGCTCCGAGACCCCATCACTCCCACCCTCGCCCGACTCCACTGGCTCCCCCTCCCTCAGAGGATCGAGTTCCAGGTCCTCATCTTCACTTTAAGGGGGCAAGGCCATCCATGGTCTTGCCCCCTCCTACCTCTCTGACCTGCTGACTCCCTACCAACCTGCCCGCTCCCTCCATTCAGCGGGCTCTGGCCTGCTCCATGTCTCCCGCCCGACCTGCCCTATCATCGATGGCCGGGCTTTCAGCCTCTCTGCCCAAACACTCTGGAACTGCATCCCACAGCCCTTTGCCTCGTTTCCTCTCTTGCCTCCTTCAAGGCCGGTCTCAAGACCCTTCTCTTCGATCGTGCCTTTGGTCTCCCTCCCACCTCTCTGCCTTCCCTCACCCCTACACCACCCCTTCCCCATGCTCGGGCCCCAACACCTGACTGTTCAGCACTTTAGTACGTCCTCCCGACGTGAAAGGCGCTCTATAAATGTAATTTTGTTGTTGTTGTTTATTTTAAATGAAAAGCTCTACTGAAAGGATCAGTGGTTCCGTCAGTAATGGGCTCTTAGATTAACAATGGGGAACTGCGTGCTTCCCAGTACTGGATGTATAAGGCAGAGCTGCAAAGTGGTTAACAAACAAAAAGTAATTTGTATCACTGGGGCATGGGGACTGTTATCCAGGAACAGGAAGGAAGCTGATTCCTGCTCCAATAATGACAGCTACTCGCTGAGGGACCAACTGTTCTGGGAAAAAAAACAACCTACACAGAAAATGAATCAAAACAACTACCTTGAAAGTTCCCCTGCTTCAATTTGCACCTTTTTGAAATGGTAAGACAAATTGCAGAAAGAAGATAATGTGTTGCCTTTCCATTTCATAAGCAAATGCACTGTGCTCAGTTTGAAAGAAATGCAACCTAAATTCCTTTATGTCTATTAGTAAGTCCTTGAGGGCCTGCTGCCAGAATAACAATTTTTTTTATGTGTTTCAAAAAATACAGTCCAAATAACATTCTCATAAAAACAAAATGCTAATGAAGAATGACAGCAGCCTTGTTCAAAAATGTTGAATAAAATTACCATCAGCAACTATGTGACAGATGCACTTTGAAGCCCAGCTAGTAACAAAGCCCAGCTCATAACTCAACTGAATGAAAAATGTTAAGTAACCAATTATATGAGACTGCAGTGGTAACTTTTAGTCTCAATCTCACTGAAGGCAAATCAACAACAATAACAACAACAACAACAAGATTCCATTTGGTCAACAATCCACAATGCAATATTAGGATATTTCTGGTTATAACTTGTTGTGCAGTGGATATTTAAATCAGCTATGACCAAGCTGTTGATAAAACAGACAAAAAGTCTTACCACGAAGCAGCCTTCTTTGTTTGAGGCATAGAAACATGTTGGATTGATCTTTCAGTTCTGGCAATAAATGGCTGGTAAAATATTACCTGGAGGCAACTTACAGACAATCAGAAGGCAAATTTTCAACAACAACAACAACAGCAAATTTTCCAATGTAGGCCACCTCCAAAATGCAGGCCAGGGCCAAGGAAAATGAGGTTGAGAATTTCTTTTTATAAAAGTTAGAAAGTTATAAAAGGCAGTAGCTGGAATAAGGTACATTTGTTTGAAATTACATGTGTTGTCTGAAATAGAGGGGGCAATGTAGGCAATATATGAGTATAAGTACTGTAAATTGTTTAATATTTCACGTCCATATCAATTGTTTTGGGGTTTATTGTAGTTAAATAGTTTAAAGATTAAAGTAGCATACTACTCCTGCCACCTGAGTATAGAGTACAAGCTTGTCCAACATCCCAATCCCTGAATGAAAAACTTAAAGAGAAAGCCAGTCAGAGAGACTGCAATTTCTCTGGACTACTGAGAGTCCAAGGATGAAAACAACACTATCACTCAATAAATTATTTTACAAGGCATTTGCCATGTTAAAAAATAAAAAAAATCATAAACATGTCATTAGCTCATCAATCTACACATACAAATATAAAAGCTGTTTATATCCCATCAGCTCACACTTGGAACGTTTAGGAAATGAAGTGCAGTGATATTGGGTTGTTTAGGGGCAGTCGCTCAAGTGCTCCGGGATGCTGCGCTGCATTAGGGACGCTGTGTAAATGCCAAGTTGTTGTTGTTGTTAAGGCAAGTGATCCAAAAAATGTGGTCCACTGAGGCAGTGGACAAAATATCAATGGATTGGGAGCGTGTGGATTGCACTGCTGCCATTAACTTCACAGAGACAGGGTAAAAGGCAGTACAAGGTTACTCAGCTCTCAGTGCACAAGGGTGGGTGGGGGTGAGGGAGGGAGGGAGGGAGGGGAATAGAATGGGGTAGGAGATGGAAATCTGAGTATTTGTAAGTGAATTCAGCAGTCGATATGCACATAGGCCCCAGCACAGAATTGACTGACTAATTTTTCTGGAGGATTGTTAAGTCAGAATACAGGTTGAAACTGGTGGCCTTTCTACTTAAAAGTTGTGCTGTGGGTTTTTTAACCTACAACAACAACAACAACAAGATTCCATTTATAGAGCGCCTTTCACATCGGGAGGACGTCCCAAGGCGCTGACACCCAACACCCAACAAGAAAATGGTTTAATAAGTCATCAAAAAGATAGCATCTCTGGCAATGCAGCCTCAGCCTAGATTAGATTATGTTGTGCAGAAACGAATTATGAATTCCTCTGAGCAAATTGATCGCAATAGGAATCTGCACTTGATTATTTGGAAATAAGCTGGGCAAGAATACGGGAATCGCTGAAAGTATTACAACAACTTGCATTTATGTAGGGCCCCTCCCACTGGGTAGCCTCCCAGGGTGTTTAAATATTACTGTGCTGTACACGTACACTATACTGTAGAGAAAACACTGTATAATAATAAAAGTAATATGATAATAATAATTGCATTTGATGTAACAGCTTTTCACACCTTTGAGACGTCTGAAAGCGCTTCACAGAATATACTGTAAAGTAAATTAATAATAATAATAATAATAATAATCCTTGCATTTGATATAGTGCTTTTCACGTCGGGAGGACGTCCCAAAGCGCTTCACAGAACACACTGTAAAGTGAACTGACCGTATATTTGTGGGCGAAGGCGGCAGCCGATTGCGCACAGCAGTGTCCTACAAACAGTGGTGGATTGAAAATGACCAATTTATTGTTGTTTTTTTGGTTTTGGAGGGATTATTATTATTATTATTGACTGTACTTTGTACCAGTGAAGCCTACAATGTACAATCTGCTGTACAAGATCGCAGTGTTGGACGGGGATGAAGTGCTGCTTACCTGTTTCACATGAACCCTTGTGGAGCTGAGAGACGGACGGCATTCCCAGCTGCAGGGCCCTCCTGCTGACCAGCTTCAGGTAACACAGGTTGTGGTAGGTTTTGCCATCGCTGCCGCACACTCGGTAGTTGAGTTTGCAGCGACAGACTCCCTGCGCCCTGGGCAGGCGCTTGCGGTGAGCGCGGACGCACTTCATCCCTTCCCCGCACGTGGCATCTCCGGGCCGTCCGCAGCCCTGGCCCTGGCCGGCGGCGCACACCAGGCAGCAGTGACAGGAGTCGTGCACATAGCCGTGCAGGCAGCTTGGGCTCGGGCACTTGGAGACGTCGCAGCGCCCAGGGCAGCCGGGCGGGTCCAGGGTCTGAGCGGCTACGCCCCAGCCCCAGCCCGCACACAGCAGCCAACAGCAAGTCACAAGGGATACAGCCGAGCCCCCCATCACCAGCCTGGGATAGCAATGCCAACACACACACCACACACACACTACCCCCACACACACACACACACACCACACACCACACACCACCCACACACACACACACTACCCACACACACACCACCACCCACACACACACACACCACACACACACTGCAAACACACAACAACAACAAGTAAACCCGAATTAACCTAAAATCCCTGACTTCGCACACAAATATATACGTCTAAAATCACCAAGAGTTCAAAAGGACTGTGAAGTCCTGACAATTCTATCAGTTATGGTGCATTTCGTTTTGCAAACAAAACCAACTGGTAAATAAAAGCATTTATATATATATATACATACACACAGTGTAGACAAAGGAAATGTAACAGCACTTCCCCTTTGTGATGAAAAAAGCACTCGAAATCGTAACGTTTCCAACTTTTAAAAGTTATTTTTCGCCCCAAAACAGGCACCAGAGTCAAGAAACAACAGTGAACACTCGAGGAAAGCTGGAGCACTAAAAAAAAGACTAAAGTAATAAATCAAGCACAATACCATTGAGTTCTATGCACAATAGAGTTGGTCAACTTTTTTTAAAAATCTCTTAAAAAAGTTTTACTTAAGTAAAAACAAAGCTCTCTGAAGTTCAAAGCAGACTGGAGACAGGACTGAGTGAAAATGAACTGTAAGCCTTGCAGCTCACTGTAAAGCAACCTTGATTTTTCCTCTGAGTCACCAAAGCTTTGGCCAATGTTTATGAAATTGCAGCTGTTTATTCTGATCCCTGCTGTCAAGGCTGACCCAACCCACAAGACCCAGATTTAAAGAGGTTCCGAATATACCTTGTATTTAAAAAAANCTATAATATTTAGTTGGCGTTATCTTTCTAAAATAAATAAACACTTAAAAAAANGTCATTGTAATCTTTGCATTTGGTATAGCGCCTTTCATGTCAGGAGGAAGTCCCAGATCACTTCATCTAAGAGGAGTCAACTGCTGGAATGTTTAATTCAAATAACAATAACCTGTTTGTGTGTGAAAGAGAACATTTTGATAGTTAAAAGTGACACAATATTAGTAAATCTGGTTAAACACAGTTTAAGCTGCTTTATGTTGGCAATAGTCCTACAGTGAGACAAATACATGCCTTTTTCTGATAAAATAGCAAAGTATATTTCAAAATTATACCCTTCAAATGCCTAGAGATAATTTATATGTGGTATGCGCAGATTGAGAAAAGATTAATTTGGCCCATTGAATGTTTTCAATCCGCAGACTAAGCAAGGCTGCCTAGGTTCTATGCTTGATAGCTTAGAACTAACTAGAATTACTCTATCAGGAACTTCAACCATTTCAATCTGCAGCCTCCAAGCTTGTTCCTGACCTGATAATGATTCAGTTCTTTTTTCAAGGTGCTGATACAAACAACTACTCCATTTCCTGGGAATTTGTTCTACATGTCCACCACACTGAAGAAAAATGTTTCTTGTGTATTTGAAACATTTAGCCAGGAGAAGATGATGGAAATGCTAAAACAAAGTTCATCACAAATAAGGCATGACCAGCTTCATATTGACTGAAAACTTTTATTCCTGGCTTTCGGGCATGCCTTATTTTTGTTTAGCTTTGTTTTACTATGTCCTGTTTCAGTGTGTATTACATAACACGTACATGTCATCCACAATAAGAATCTCCTGCCTCTCATTCACACATCTGTTTGTTTTGGGAATGATGCTTACCTTACTTTTATGAGTCATCCAGCCACAAAGATTGGTCTCACTGTAACTTTTATGCTGTAAATCAGCCGAACGCAAATCGAATGTAAAAGTCAAGATGCAAACTGTTTGACTGTTTAATCACCTCAACTGAGTCAGATGGTGTAGTATGCAGTTCACAAAGTTTCCTTTGGATCCTGATGTTTTCAGAAGGAAAACAGAAAGAGAAGCAAATTTTGTACTAGGTATTAACAGATAAGTCACAAACACACCATACTGTAATAATAATAATCCTTTGATATTATGTCTGATCTAGTGTCAAGATGTTTCAAAGTGCTGCGCAACGATATACTGTAAATAATGCATGAAGCAGCCGTTGTGTCTTAGAAAGTAGTTTTAAACTTCAATGCACTTAGAGGCAGAGTTCCAGGTAGTGATACCATCTGCGCTAGCATTGTGCAAGCTGACCTGGTGGATTAGCAATTGTAGTTGAGTGTCTTTGAGGACTCTCTGGATCCATTCAGATTTTGAAATCCAGCTGCAAGCAGGGTTGGTTACATGTGCAAGATGCATCAGCATTCTCCACACTGACTTTTTTTTATTGCAAAACCACATGTAAACACGCAATGTTGATGATTTTGCTCAGTGTGAAGCAAAATATTTACAGATACATCATTGCATATTTGAAGATTGGTTGAAAACTGAACCGGAACACGCATGAGTTTATGAGTGGCCGACTAGGTAAATAATAATACAATTCTACAGTATGCTGGGAGAATGAATGCACATTAATATGGTGCAGACACACACAGGATTCAATATCCAATAAACGCCGGATAACTTTACCCTATCGCAACTTGTTACTATCACTTAAGTCGTCATGCCGTCACTATCCCGACTGCTTCTCCATATAAACTATTAATAAGAGACACTGTTTTACTCATCACTCTGCTTGACACATAACTCATCACATTTGTAGTAATTCTTGTAAATATTTTAAAGTACAATTAATCAATAACTCATCCTTATAAGATGGCAGAGGCCTGGGGTCTATTGGAGGGTGTTCCATGGCCTCTCACCTTAAATTGTGACTTGTGTGGTGCTCAGCAGTGGTTGGGCCCGCATGCTCAGATCAGTGAACAAGAGAGAGTGGCCTGGGAGGATAAGGCAAGGTCTAAAGGCTAACTCGTCACAGATCATTTGTCACTGGACCCTTTTCCCTTGGAGTGACGAGTTATCCAGAGTTTACTGTATGTTGCTGTATATCAAAATATATAAAAAGTTACATAATACAAAATTCCTAAACATATTCTCCAAAACATGATATTTTTGCCCTTATATACAGTTCATACTATTGATATACATGCACATTAATAAATGACCTTCAATAAGTGTTGAGGAAAGTGGAAAATCCAGCATTAAATGTTAACAACAAACATTTTTTTCCAAGTTAATAATATGTTCAAATTTTTTTATGAGATGCTGTGTAGGTGTGATTGGAACGGTCTTCATCATTATGAATTTCTTTGGAGAAGTCCAATGCTTACAAATCAATGATTCAAACCCCAAAGTGCCTGAATGAAGAATCACTTCAATTAAAGCTATAAAAAGGCAATGGAGATATGATGCACAACAAATTTCCAAACATTACTTGTTACTTGGTAGCATTTTAGTTATGTCTGATATTTTAAAACTTGCTGCAGATATTTTTTGGATACTGTAGGTTGTTGAAGTCAAGTTAGTTCAATTTGTAGCAAGTTGGATATCACACCAGCGTAATTAACTACAAAACCAGCAGCTCAGTAAAATTTACTAGAAGCTTGTCTACCTTCCACAGCTGTTCCCTTTACTATTGTAGACATACATGACAAGAAAGGATCAGGTTATGGATGTGGACATTTCTATTCATGCATAAAGCAAGCAAAGGAAAGCAAAAATACTGTGTTTGAATACTAACCTGTGTCTGATCTTGATTTTGTGGCTAACATTGCCATAGAACCACACAAAGTGAATGGAGGACATTCATAGCCACCTCTAAACCAGAATTACTTTTAGTTTACTTTGACTTGTATCATGTTCCCTGTGAACAGTGACTTTCCTTTAAATTTCAAACAGTTTCTCATAAAAATAACATTCACTGAGATTTAAAAAGAAAACATCATAAAATGGACCACAGGAAATTAATATTTTAAGGATAGATTTGTTTTTACTGCCGAATATTATTGTGGCATTATTTGTGAATGACAATGGAATGAACTATACCAGTTTTTAATTTGTCATGCCTCATTTAATTTGCTTCATACATGCTCTAGATTGCTTTGAGCAAGTCACATCATTTTTCAGCCAAGGGATGAGCAAGTGACTTGCTCACAGGCTTCTAAGGTCAGTTACTAAAATATGGACAGATGTGTAACTCTATTCCTGTGCCTGGCATTCAATTAACATGTCGCCCACCAGAGCGCAAAGACAAAATCGAAAGTAAGGTGGCAAGTTGGTGCTCTATCATTCTGTGGTATGCGGGTTACATTATTGTGTTTAAGCTGTTAAGATCGACTGAAATTCCGATGTTTTTTAACAGATCGGCAGTCCCAAAATTTTGTTTGCCTTAAAATATGCCTTAAGAGACCTGCCTTCAAAGAGGTGAGAGAGGGAGAGAGCTAGTCAGACAGACTCCAAGATTGAGTTCCAGAGAGCGAAGACAGAATGGTTGAAAGTCTGCTCAACAATAATAATAATAATAATAATAATCCTTGCATTTGATATAGCGCTTTTCACGTCGGGAGGACGTCCCAAAGCGCTTCACAGAACACACTGTAAAGTGAATTGACTGTATATTTGTATATATATATATATATATTTGTATATATGGGATGGTTAGGGCAAAGGACATGAAGCAGATTGGTGCTTCACATCACATTTTTCATCCCTTTATACTAACAGAAGGGAAATGAAGTTCAGGTCTGTCAAAATCTCTTAATGGTGCACTTGAGCTAGTTTTATCACTATGGCTACGCATTCCGAGATGCTACCTCACATGAAGGACACTGTATACAAATGCAGTTTTTGTTGTTATATGCTGTAAAAGATTTAAATATTTCAATAACTTTTCACAATTTTATAGAATAGATTCAAGCACCTACGTATTTTGATCCCAGTGCAAACACACAGTGCTGGAAATGCATAGAGTTCAAAAAGTTTATACCTTCCACCACATTTCCATTAATTAAATGTAATTGTTTGCTACAAAGTACACCACGTTGCAGTAAATTCAGTGAAGTGCTTTGAGACACCGTCTCATCCTGAAAGGTGCTATATCAAATACAACATTATTAATTATTACTTTGAATCAGTTATGATACTTCAGAAATGT